CCTTGCTCCTCTCTTCACTGGGGGTTATATGCCCTCTGAGCCCTGGGCTCCCGGGGTCTAACTGCCTAGAACGTCAGCAGTAGGCCTGTAAAAAGTGCTTCTTCCCACATACTGTAACACTGGGCTTCAGCGTGGGGAGCCCTGGGGCTCAGACCAGCAAACTACATGCCCCATTTGCAACAACTTGGCTGCGACTTTTGTGACGTCTTAGGGAGTCCAGAAAAGCAGAGCTATGGAAAGAGGTTTCGTTCAAGCTCCAGACTTGGGTGGCCCTTCATCCCCACTGAAGGGGCTATCGTAAATTGTCTTCCGTTGCAACACGAATGGAAAAGTAATCTGGGGTTGGGCCAATACAAAAACAGTTGAAAGAGGTAAAATATTGGACTAAAGCCATACTATGGAATGGGGAGAGAGGAGATACCCCAAAAGGGTAGGGGACTGGGAAAATTTTAAGAATATTGCCTTAGGCCTGTTTTCTTCCCAAAATATAGCAAGATAAACCTTAAACTTGGTAGGTTTGACTGCATTCTGCATAGAAAGAGTTTGGGCAAAGGCAAATGTGCAGAGCGGAAGATGTGAACCAGAGGAGGTAGGTGTAGAGCCAGTTGATTTCAGGACCTGTGGATTGACAATGAACAGGTCACAGCAGAATTAAGCATTTTACCAGTTACTTCAAAGCTCAAACAGTAGAAGTCTTTCTCCACGTCTTCCATCGGTCACAAAGCCCTGTGCTATTGTAGATGCCAAATCCCTGACTCTCTGCTTTCCCTCACATGAGACGTTAGGAAAAACATTAATAGCAGGAGGCACTTTAAAAAATTATTTTTGGCAACACTTTTTGCTTTTGCAAGCCCCAGCTGAGTAACACAGGAAGCAGAAAGGGTGGGGGCGCCCCCCGGCTCCCATGGTTAGAAGAATAAGCCAAACAAGATCAAAACAGGAGCTGCGAGATACCACTTCCTGCCTCCCCCAGGCACCCTGAAACTCACTGAGGGAGGCAGACCTCAAAGCCGAGCCCCCTCCTCTACCCCCAGACCGTTACAGACCGGAAATGTTACAAGAGATGGAAACGTCCAGGCCGTCTGGCTGAGAGGGCCCATGGCGTCTCGGGCCTAAAGAGAGGTGGAATTTCAAGACCTCACAAGTGTCCCACTTGGCCTGGTTGGAAAAAGCCAGAGAAAGGATAGGAAAACCGGTCACTGCCCTTTCTGTGGAAAACTGGCTCTCATTGATGGCTCCCCCGCACACATACACCCTACACAAAACTCCAGGCTAGAAGAACAAAACCCCTACCTGGGCAAAAGGGGCAAGTCTACAAAGGGAGGGGACAACAAAGTGGCAGGGAAACTGTAGCTACTCAGCTGATAAACTGAAAAACTGAGAAACAGAGATTGGCTGTTCGTGCCGACCTTGCTCCCCTCTCACCCTTGAGATTAGCATCTTTCTCAGAATGTCCAAAATACCATTAGACAGACCCAGCTTATGAATAAATAGAATGTGACTTTCTGGGAAGCTCCCTTACACCCCCTGCCGCCCTTAGTCTGCTTTAATATCTCTCCATTTCTTGCTTTCTTAAAGAAGTTCTCATCTTGAGTCTAATATGTACGTGTGCATGTGGAAATGTACGTATGCAGGTGGAGGTGTGTGTGTGGAGATGGAAGTATGTGTGTCCAGGTGGAACTGTGCGTGTGCATGTGGAGGTGTGCGTGTGCATGTGGAGGTGTGCGTGTGCATGTGAAGGTGTGTGTGTGCAGGGGGAAGTATGTGTGTGTATATGGAGGTGTGTGTGTGCATGTGAAAGTGTGTGTGTCCATATGGAGGTATGCATATACATGTGGAGGTGTGTGTGTGCATATGAAGGTGTATGTGTGCAGGTGGAAGTGTGCGTGTGCAGGTGGAGGTGTGCGTGTGCATGTGAAGATGTGTGTGTGCAGGTGGAAGTATGTGTGTGTATATGGAGGCATGTGTATGGAGGCATGTGTGTGCGTGTGAAGGTGTGTGTGCAGGTGGAGGTGTGAGTGTGCATGTGGAGCTGTGTGTGTGCATGTGAAGGTGTGTGTGTGCAGTGTGATATATCTGTGCATGTGGAGGTGTGTGTGCATATGGAGGTGTGGGTGTATTATGTAGGTGTGTGTGCCCATGTGAAGGTGTATCTGTGCATATGGAGGTGTATCTGTGCATATGGAGCTGTGTGTGTGCATGTGGAGCTGTGTGTGTGCATGTGGAGGTGTGTGTGTGCTCAAGTGTGGGAAGGTGTATCTGTGCATATGGAGGTGTATCTGTGCATATGGAGCTGTGTGTGTGCATGTGGAGCTGTGTGTGTGTACATGTGGAGGTGTGGGGGTGTGTGCCCATGGAAGGTGTATCTGTGCATATGGAGGTGTATCTGTGCATATGGAGGTGTGTGTGTGCATGTGGGAGGTGTGTGTGGCATATGTGGTGTGTGTGTGTGCAGGTAGAGGTGTATCTGTGCATGTGGATGTGTGCGTGTGCATGTGGAGGTGTATCTGTGCATGGTAGAGGTGTGTATATGCATGTGAAGGTGTGTGTGCATGAGCTGTACGGTGTGATATGGAGGTTTGCATGTGCAGCTGGAAGTGTGTGTGTGCAGGGGGAAGTGTGTGTGTGCAGGTGGAGGTGTGTGTGTGCAGGTGGAGGTGTATCTGTGCATGTGTGGAGGTGTGTGCGAGGAGTGGTGTGTGTGTGCCCACATGAAGGTTGTATCTGTGCATATGGAGGTATATCTGCATATGGAGGTGTATCTGCAGCATGTGGAGGTGTGTGTGCATATGGAGGTGTGCGTGTGAATGTGAAGGTGTGTGTGCATGTGAGGTGTGCGTGCATGTGAAGGTGTGTGCATGAGGTGTACGTGTGCATATGGAGGTAAGGCAGCAGCTGGAGGTGTGTGTGCAGGTGTATGTGTGTGTGTGTGAGGTGGAAGGTGCGTGTGTGCAGGTGGAGGTGTGTGTGTGCAGGTGGAGGTGTATCTGTGCAGGTGGGAGGTGTGCGTGTGCATGTGGAGGTGTGCAGGAGGTGTATGTGTGCAGGTGGGAAGTGTGTGTGTGTGCAAGTGGAGGTGCATCTGTGCATGGGAGGTGTGCGTGTGCATGTGGAGGTGTGTGTGTGCATGTGGAGGTGTGTGTGTGCAGGGGGAGGTATATCTGTGCATGTGGAGGTGTGTGTGCAGGTGGGAGGCATATGCAGGTGGAGGTGTATGTGCAGGTGGCGGTGTGCGGTGCATGTGAGATGTGTGTGCCAGTGAGGTGTATGTGCCAGTGGAGGTGTGTGTGTGCACGTGGAGGTGTATCTGTGTACGTGGAGGTGTGTGTGTGCAGGTGAGGTGTATCTGTGCATGTGGAGGTGTGCGTGTGCATGTGAGGTGTGTGTGTGTGAAGGAGGTGTCGTGCAGTATGTGGAGGTTTCATGTGTGCAGGTGGAGGTGTGTGTGGGCAGGTGAAGTGTGCGTGGTGCATGTGGGAGGGGTGCGTGTGCAGGTGAAGGTGTGTGTGTGCATGTGGAGGTGTGGTATGTGCAGGTGGAGGGGTGTGTGTGTGCAGGTGGAGGTGTATCTGTGCAGGTGGAGGTGTATTTGTGCAGGTAAAAGTGTATGTAGCGGTGAGGTGTGCGTGTGCACATGAAGTTATCTGTGCATGTGGAGGTGTGTGTGTGCATGTGGAGGTGTGTGTGCAGGTGGAGGTGTATCTGTGCAGTTGGAGGTGTGTGCGCGCAAGTGGAGGTGTGTGTGTGTGCAGGTGGGAGGTGTACCTGTGCATGTGGGAGGTGTGCGGTGTGCAGGAGGTGTGTGTGCAGGTGGAGGTGTATGTGTGCAGGTGGAAGTGTGCATGTGCATGTGGAGGTGTGCGTGGTGCAGGGAGGTGCGTGTGCAGGCAGGTATGTGTGCAGGTGGAAGTGTCTGTGTGCAGGTGGAGGTGTATCTGTGCATGTGGAGGTGTGTGTGTGCGGGTGGGAGGGTGTGTGTGTGTGCATGTGGAAGTGTGTGTGTGTCCAGGTGGAGGTGTATCTGTGCATGTGGAGGTGTGTGTGTGCATGTGGTGTGTGTGTGCACAGGTGGAAGTGTGCAGGTGCATGTGAAGTGTGTGTGCAGGTGGAGGTATGTGTGTATATGGAGGTGTACGTGTGCATGTGGAGGTGTGTGTAGCAGGGAGGGAAGTGTATTAATCTCCTAGCGCTGCTATGACAAAGTACCACAGTCAGGGGAACTTCAAAAACAGAAACTTATTTTCTCATAGTTCTGGAGGCTAAAAGTCTGAGATCGGGGTGTCAGCAGAGTTCTCCTGTGGTCTCTCTCCCTGGCTTACAGATTGCCATCTCTCTCTGTGTCTCCACGTGGCCTTCCCACAGTGCCCTGATCTCCTCTTTTAATAAGGACATCCATCATATTGGATTAGGGCCCAGCCTAATGGCCTCATTTTAACTTAACTACATCTTTAAAGACCCTGTCTCCAAATATGGTCACATTCTGGGGCACTCAGGGCTTAGGACTTCAACATAGGAATGTGGAGGAGATACAAATAAGCTCATAACAGAGGGTAAAGGAGGGAATAAACATTCTCCTGGGAGGGGAGACTGTGTTAGCCTTACTGGCCTACATTTTACAGGGAAAGGTCCATGTACAAGACTGAGAAGAGGTGAGGAGTGCAGAAGTGCCTAGAGAGGGGAGAGAGGTAGTGAGCGAAAGGGTAGCTTAGAAGCTTTCCTTCCAGGGCTCCCCTGCTATGCTACCCTGAGCCATTTGATAAAAATGGAGGTAAAAAGAGGACTTGAGGCCAGTCTCATTCTTTCTTGTCCTAGTCTAGACAAAGAAGAGAAGATCCTCTTCTATTCAGCATCCTTTGTTATCTTTGCTCCTGCCTGCCTCCTGAAAGAGTTCACTGTTTGAGCACCAACCATGTGCTGCGCAGTAGAATAGGAATATAGAGTCAAACTCTTTGCAGACTAGATTTTGGCCCACACTCATTAACTCATCCCATTTGCTCCAGGGTCAACTTAATGAAGACAAACTGAAGGGGAAACTGAGATCCTTAGAAAACCAGCTGTACACCTGTACCCAGGTAAGCATTCTGAAGGATATTTCCATCTCGGGAATCTAGAATTAAATGTGAAGAATGCTTGAACCTCAATCTTACTTTTGAGAAATGCCACTAGATAGAGAATAACACACCCATTCCTACTTACCCAGTTCTGGCTTGGCCATTTTCACTTTAGTCTCTAATTCACTAGATCACTGTCTTCATCCTTCTTCCTCTCCCTTTCTCCCAGTATCCTTCTCTTTGCACCCTGGAGGAATCCCAGCACTAACCACTTTGTCAGCTCCAGGGGAACCTTGAGAATACCTGAAACTGTAGGGAAAGGCCCTTGGTGAAGATTCCCACCATCCAGACGGACCTTTACACATCCTAATCTTTGAACAGATGAGTTAGATGTTATAACGAAGTCTTAGAAAATGATTTTCATTCCATGGGCAACTTTTTTTCTGTTTTTTCTAGCAACCTCTAGAAGAATGTAAAAGCTCTTTTACTTGGCTCTTCTGTAACACCATTTTCCAGCATTAGTAATCTCCTGATTGGCCTAATCTTGGTTTACAAGAGATAGAAAGAAATCAGCTTTCACATTTGAGAAGTGATGGATACCTGACAGGTGGGGAGATGTCAAATAAGAAAATGGGGCGAAACAGGCAGACTTCTCCCATCTGGAGTTAGAGAGAGAAGACAGTTGGCCACATAGATGGCGTCTCACAGGGAAAGAGAGTTTATGGAGTCTATAAGTTTCTTGGTCCACAACTTTCATTTATTCAGTATGACTTGCTTTGTCAGGACTAAATAATGCCAACCAAGTTCACAAGAGACCAATATATAATCCAGAATGCCAATCTATTCATTTTCAATAAGGAATAACACATAACCAGTGCCCAGCATGGATGGTCATTGGATGTCCAATAACTGGGACATCCCCTACATATGACCTCAACCAGGTTAATTCCTGAATCTAGTTTTTAATGAAAGTTCCAAAACTATAAGACCCACTCAAATTTAAATCCAAAATTTCAGACAATTCCAAAGCTAAATGGAAATGATTTCATATTGATCCCTAAATTTTTGTCATCTGGTCTACTGCTTACACAGTGGGTAATCCAGAATTGACAGTAAAATCTGCCTGCCTTCTCTGAAATCACAGGACACAAAGATAAAAGAAAGGAGAAGGCAAGACCCCCAGTGAATTTGCAAAGCTGTGCTTGTGTCTCCTTAATCCTGCAGCCAGGAGGAATTTTATAACGTGAATGTATTAATTTTAAACCATTAAGTTCATTAGGCATTGTAGAGAAGCTACAATGATTTTTTTTAAAGCAGCAGCAGTATGCTCCCTCCCTGAAGGAGTTTACAATCCAGTAGGAAAAACAGATGAGTCAACAGAGTAGAATAATAGAGGCATGCAGGGTATACTATGTGAACACTATGAACACTAAGAAAAGCTGCCTAATCTATAAGACGTTGTGGGATGGGGGCAGTTGGTCAATTTATCAGAACTGATGATACTGGACTGAATCTTGAGTATGAGTAGAAGTTAACCAGTTCTAGGCAGAAGAAGCTGTATGGGTAAAGGCAGAAGCCAAAAAAACAGAGTGCTAGGGGATCTGCAAACATCTCAGCTTAGGTGGAAGTAGCATGGGATGAAAGTCTAGTCATGTAAGTGGAGCCATGACAAGGAGTTTGGATGTGATTCTTAGGATGCTGAGAATCCATGGAGAATTTATGCAGGAAGTGGCAAGATCAGATTTGCATTTTAGAAAGAACCCTCTAAATGCGGGACTGAAAAGGGACTGAAGGGAGGCAAGATTTGAAGAAAGGGAAGCTGTTGCATTAATCCACGTAGCACTACTACTAGAGCCTGAACTAAGGAAGCAGCAGTAGGGATAGAGAGGAGACAGATATGAACTATGAAGGAAACTGTCAAGGTTCAATGACCAACTGATTACTGGAAGGAAATGAGAGAGAAAATGAAGATTGACTCCCTGGTTTAGGGTTTGGAAAAGACTAGATGGATGATGATTCTGGTCACTGAGATAGGAACCCCAAGAAAAAAGAACATGTTTAGAAACATGAGTCCTGTTTAGACATGTTGGATTTCAAGAGCTTGTGGAAGGCCTCAGATATAATGCCCAGCAAGCCTAGGGCACTGTTTATTATGCCCCCCCCCCCCCCCCACTCATCTCTCATTGCCTGACGGACTCTCCCTGCTAGCTCTACCCTAAAAGAAAAGGCTCACTAGATTACTGGTATCTCTGCCTGGGGGAAGAACCAACTTCTTTTCATTTCTGTATCCCAGTTCAGGATTTGGCACACAGAAGTTCAATGTGTATTTGTTGAATTGCATCAAATTTACAGAAATACTCCCCTTGGGGAATGAAAAAAGTACTACTGGAGATGGAAGACCAGAAAAACAGCTATGAGCAGAAGGCCAAGGAGTCACTGCAGAAAGTGCTGGAGGAGAAAATGAATGCAGAGCAGCAACTACAGAGCACACAGGTATGGGGATGCCACACAGACCTTGGGGTTGGGGACTCCAGGCAGCTTGGGGAACAAGGGAGCCAGCTGCACAGCTCCCTGGAACCCTCTCCTCTCTGACCTCCCTCAGCGATCCCTGGCCCTGGCAGAGCAGAAGTGTGAAGAGTGGAGGAGCCAGTACGAGGCTCTGAAGGAGGACTGGAGGACCCTTGGGTCCCAGCACAGAGAGCTGGAGAGCCAGCTCAACGTGCTTCAGTCCAAACTGCAGGTACCAGGCACTGGGGGTGGGGAGGGAAGACAGGGTATGGGGAGGAGGGGTGGTGATGAAGAAGCTGTTCTGGATTAGGGACTCCAAAGGCAGCTGACAGCATCTGGCTTTCAGTTCCTCAGTCACCACCTACTTTGTACCAAATTCACTGTTTTGGCTCTGAAATTTAATTTTGAGTTTAGCAAGGATGTCTGCACTGCTCATGCAAATGAACTAAGCGTTCATTGGAATGACACCATCACCATCCAAATGAAAAGAACTGGCTGGAATATACATCAGCCTACTAATGTCATATCCCAACCCACTCTCCAAACTCCATCCCAAAAAAGCATCCAGTTCAGAATTGCCCACTGTTGGCACAGAAAAAATGTCACTAATTTATTTACAGGTGAGTACTAACACTTTTTGCCAATGTGTTTTTTAAGCAATTACAATTAGACTCCTGGCATCCTCAAGGGTTCCATCATCTTCAATCTGTCCTAAGACTCAGTTTCCCCATCTGTAAAATGAGGATAATAGTACTTACATCATAAGGTTGTTCTGAGTATTAAGTAAGATGATCCATGTAAAGTACTTAGCACAATGCCTGGCATATAAAAGCACTCAGTAAATATTAGCCATTATTTTGCATAGATTTATTTACTTGGTTTGGAGTTTTGAGGATCCACCTCAAAAGCTGATCTTTATAATTTTCCTGAAACAGGGCTCAGAACAGCCCACTTAAGAGACAGAGTATGTGAGTCTTATCAAAGGAGTGAACCTAGCTGGTCACTCTGCGTGGTATCCACATCTCAACCTTTGCTGTTCTCTTCTTCCCATCACCTATAAGGCAACTCCTATGAAGATTTTGGGGGGAGGGGGTTTAACTTTGAATCTTTGTGGAAAAAAAAAGACCCTAACAAAAAAAAAATTGATACTGCCAGAGGAAGAATAAAAGAGAAAATGAAAACATCTAGAAAACTGATGACTTCGTATTCCTTAATTTGGTGATTTACCAAAGTGTCAAGACATGACTCCCATGCCAATGACAACCACTTACATTTCCCCTAGAATGGCAGATTTTTTAAAGTACTGGGTTTCCTAAAGCAATTCTTATTTTATATATTCTAATTTATGTACATGAATGTGTCACTTAGACCTGTCACTAGAGATGGTTTAGAAAATAAACTTACACTACACATGCCTCAGTCCACTTCAAAACTACTGGCACATGCCTATAGTCCCAGTTACTCAGAAGGCTAAGGTGGGAGGATTGCTTGAGCCCAAGAGGTCAAGGCTGCAGTGAGCTATGATGGCACCACTGCACTCCAGTCTGGGTGACAAAGTGAGACCCCATCTCTAAAAATAAAAATAAATAAATAAAAGACACGAGTTCCTTGTGAATATCAAGTCTAATTTGCTGTTATAAATGTGAGGAACAAAGCAAAGGGAAGAATAGGAAAAAAGAAAGACTTCTCTATTTTCTCATCTACCTAACATTCCTTCTATCTCTAAAACTCCAGAATTTTCTATATTTTCCTCTTTCATGGTATCTGCCCCCAACCTCCACCCCAACACTGACCTCCTTCTATATGGCCCCTCCTCCTCCTTACAGGGAGCAGATAGCAGAGACTTACAGATGAACCAGGCCCTGCAATTTTTGGAGAATGAGCACCAGGAACTGCAGGCCAAGATTGAATGCCTGCAAGGGGACAGAGACCTGTGCAGCTTGGATACCCAGGACCTACAAGGTACTCTTCTCCTTGGAGGCTTTGGGCGCATGGGAGCCATGGCCAAGTGAGCTAAGAAAAAAGAAACTGAGTTAAGAGAAAGGCTTCAGTCTTTTATTTGTTTGCTTGATTGGTTGATTGGCTTTGTAATCTCATTTTACCTTGAGGGAGAGGCAGGGCTGTTTTAATCATCCAAAATTGAAAATTAATTTCACTATACCAGATAGAGTATCCTTTTGTCTAGCTCTCTTTTTTAGCCCATCCCTCTGGGCCAGATCACAGCTGCTCCCACATCAGTCACATATGTCAAGGCCACATTCCTAATTTGAAAGGGAAAGGCCAGTTGAAGCACAAGGCATAGAGAAAGTCTCTCAGTCACAGCCTCTGCGTCCGAGGACTAGATAGTGTGTAAATACAAGCCTCAATGCAACCCAACATTGTTGATGCACAAAACCTGAGGTACTTGGCTTCTGGTTTACCTCTTCAGAACTGGACACAACTTCCAAAAGACACATGTTAGAGGCCACGACAAGACAGCATCTATTACTAATTTCCATCCTTAAGTACTGAGTTCATTAAGTCTTGGGTTCCTTTATTTTGGCTTGCATTATTGCATTTTCAGATCAACTAAAAAAGTCAGAGGCGGAGAAGCTCACCCTGGTGACCAGAGTACAGCAGTTGCAGAGTAAGTTCGCTTTCCAGATTCTGAAAGTCCACAGGGTTTTCCTGGGGCTCCTGGCCCATAAAAGGCACCCAGAGTAGGGACTAAGGGCCCAGTCTTTGGCATATGCTCTAACTCTGTGCATTTTCAGACCCTCTTCTTGTGAAGTGAGGTCATTTACATAGCTCTCCATAAATTATGTATTAGCCTCTGTTCTTTTTTTTCTACTTTTCTCCTTCCATGCCAATGACACCACTTACATTTCCCCCAGAATTGCAGATTTTATTTTAAGTACTGGGTTTCCTAAAGCAGCTCTTATTTTATATGTTGTAATTTATAAGTACATGAATGTGTCACAGAGACCTGTCACTAGAGATGGTTTAGAAAATAAGCTTACACACTATACGTGCTTCAGTCCACTTCAAAACTACATATTGGGCCCAAAGAGGAAAAGGGATTTTTCAGAAGAAAAGCAGTTTCTGAAAAGCTGGAGAACCTGACTCAATTAATACCGCTGCTGGTTGCCCACCACTTTAACCTCTGACACCTGATAGAGAAGCTTCATGCAAACAGCAATGATTATTAAGAGAGCAAAGCAACCGCAGGGGAAAGGGAAAGTCTTCAAGCAAAGACTTGAAGATAGAGACATGGTAGGGGGAGAAATAAGGATGCTATATTCATAGCAAAGTACCACAGACTGGGTGCCTTGAAGAACAGAAATGTATTGTCTCACAGTTCTGGAGACTAGAAATCCAAGATGTCAGCAGGGGTGTTTCCTTCTGAGGGCATTTAGGGAAAGATCTATTCCAGGGCTCTTTCCTTGGCTTTGTAGATGGCCGTCTTCTCTCTGTGTCTTTCCCATGAACATATCTGTGTCCATATTTCTCCTTCTTATAACGACACCAGTGATATTAGATTAGGGCCCACCTGAATGACCCCATTTTAATTTGATTATCTTTTAAAGAACCTATCCCCAAATAAGGTCATAATTTAAGGTACTGAGGGTTAGGACTTCAACATATAGATTCTGGGGGACAAAATTCAACACATAGCAGATGGGAACATATTTAATAACTAAGGTTCTAGGCAAAGTTCTGAAAAGAAACTCTTTGTAGTAAATATGCTAGCATAGACAAGTTCCTTGTGTTTTCCAACAGGTCTGCTTCAGAATCAATCCTTACAGCTTCAAGAACAGGAGAAACTCTTAACAAAGAAAGGTCAGCAAATTTATTAACCACAAATTCTAAGACACTGCCCTTCCCTTACCTGCCTAGAGGCAGCGGGATGGACTACATGACCTCCTGGAGTCCCGCCCAGTTCTGAGAGTCTGTTAAGTCCGGGATGTGTGGGAGCTTTTTAAGGACTGATCATTGGCTCTGAGGACACTTCAACTAGTTAGCCTTCTATCCTGAGGTATATAAACTGTGAAAAAAGGTTTCTGTTCTCTCTGAAAGCACATGTTTGTGTTGAACATTTCAATAAATTTATTTTGAACTCAGGATTTCATGTCAATTTTTACACACTTGATTTTCCAAATCACATCCAACTTCCCAGCCCCAAACCACATAGCATGCCAGAGTCAACTCACTCTTAGCCGTAGAGAGTCTACTGTCCATGTTTACTGAGAATTCACTGTGTATACAGAGGGGCAATAGCTCCTCACCTGTCCACTACACATGACCTTTTGTTTTCTCCTCACAATCACTGGGCATAATATAATAGATAATGCAGAAATGTTAATGCCCACATAGTATGGATAAGAACATGAAGGTCTATGGTGGCACAGACTAACAACACAGCTACAACAATCCAAAACTTCTGACTCCTAGTCCATGCTCTTTTCACCAAGACTAAGACTGCAGGGTGGCTAAAAAACCATCTTTAACCATATGAAGATAAATTTTAGGATATGACTGCCATCTTCACAACTTTCAAATGAGGACATCAGGGAAAAGGGGTTATATTAAAGCATCCACCAAACTTATCTGACAAACTAGGAAGAATGTGACATACAACCAATGAAATTCAATTAATAAGTATTCACTAAAATTATCTAGCACTAGATAAGACTGGGGATACAAAGAAAAGATGCCAATCTTGTCCTCAAGGAGCTCAGATTCCAGCTGTCTGTCCAAGCTTAGCAGGGGCCTAGTGGAAGTTAACCTTTATGTCAAAGAATGCCATCAGTCTAGCCAAGAGCACGTCCTCCCAAGTTCCCTCCCCTCTCCCCACTCCTAGTGGCTCACCCTCAGGGCCCTTCCTCAGAGGTGTGGGCCTCACTATCACCAAGAAATCTGGCTGCTTTTTTAGATCAGGCTTTGCCCGTGTGGAGTCCAAAGTCCTTCCCTAACGAAGTGGAGCCTGAGGGTACAGGGAAGGAGAAAGACTGGGATCTCAGAGACCAGCTGCAAAAGAAGACTTTGCAGCTCCAGGCCAAGGAAAAGGAGGTGAGAGGGTGACCTGAGACAGTGATGGCTCATCTGCAGAATAGCAGAGAAACCTGGGAGGCAGCCAAAGAGCAGGGATTTCAAAGTTTAGGCTGTAACTGGATACCCACAGATATTCATTTGCCTACATAAAGTGTCTGTGCTTCTGGGCTGACTTGTCAATCTTTTCCCTTCCTTATATACACCAGCTCCTATTCAAGGTTTTATTAACTGGTTACCTTTTAGAAAGTCGACCAAAACTCAAACACATTTAATAAAAATATTAATTTCTCAATATGTCGTCCCACATTGAGTATCTTAAGTCTTTATATGTCTTTTAAAGAGTAAAACTGTTCCTTTGTACAACTCACAAACATACACATCCCCAGAAGTATTCATATGCAACTAGCTCCTGGGAAAGAAACTTGTACTAAGGTCACTTCTAGGTTGTTTGTGCTATAAGAACTTCATTTTTCAGTGTCTCTCATTTGCAAAGCACTTGCATGTAAAGTCATATAAAAGAACTTAAATGTATAAAATGTAATATTATAATATGCAGTATTGTCAATCATTTAAAATGAACACATTCCAGACAATGTGAGACAGTCAAAAGACAAACTCAAATCCCTGAGAATGGCTGGGAAGGGACGATGGTGGTAAAAATTCCAAATGAGTGAAATTTACACAGGGCAGTCTCCCCTACCTGGGCTCTGTCCTAGACAGAAGTGACAGTGACGACTTTGGTGACGTTCTCCCCAGTGCAGAGAACTGCATTCAGAATTAGACAACCTCAGTGACGAGTATCTCTCCTGCCTGCGTAAGCTGCAGCACTGTCGAGAAGAGCTGAACCAGAGCCAGCAGCTGCCTCCCAGAGTAAGAGGGTCTCTCCTTCCCATAAAGCCCTGGATGATGGGATGATTCCTTCCTTAACCAAGATTTGCAGATAAAATGTATCAGCCCACGCCAACAACTGGCCATCCTGTCCCACTGTGCTTGGTTTATAACATACTGACATTATGGCAACCATTGGAAAAAACACTGGACTCGTGCATCAAAGCCCAACTTTCATGGAACTCTCAATGCCAGAAGGAAAGACTCACTCTTAGCTAAAGTATGAAAGGGTGTTCTTTTAGCCTATGATAAGCATGGTGGCAAGAATAGAAGGACAACAAAAGTACTGGGGAATACAAACAAAGAATACAATTTTGCTGAGTTATTTTCCACCCTTCATTATTCATATCAGTATTTATATATCTGGTCCCTGATGGATATGGCTCCCTGGGCCAGAGAACACTGGTTAAGTGGTTTTACCCCAAGACAGGTGACAGAGTGGGAGACAGAGTAAAAAGCTTTTTCTCCACCACTAACCCAGGGTTTTCTACTGGGCTAGAGTAGGAAGAAGAAAGATTTTTGCCTATATCTTTTCCAGTCAACTCATAGCCACTTTCTTCTGTCTCCCTGTCCCTCTGCAGAGGCAATGTGGGCGATGGCTCCCAATGCTGATGGTGGTGATTGCTGCAGCACTGGCAGTGTTCCTGGCCAATAAAGACAACCTGATGATCTGAATAATTTGTGACAACTGTCTTGGGTGAAAATCAGAAGCAAGCAACTCAACAAAAAACTCAGAAGGTTTGGGTACATTACAGCTTGGGCTTTCCAACTGACTTAGTATTTCTGACTTTTTGTTATTTTCTTAACCTAGTGTAAATAAACTTCACCTGACCAGACTGTTCCTCAGAACTCTCAGTTTATTCCTGAAAGGTGTATTACATTAACAAGTATCACATATTTAAGCATACTGGTGGTCTACTCTCCTCAAATTCAGTTGCAGGCATATAAACACGCAGAGAAACCCCCAGCCCTACTTTCCTAGCAGACAGCACCCACATAGAGCAGGTATATTTAGACGGTTACCATGCAAGAGTGTTTGGCTTGTCTTCCACCACCCTGCTTTTCCTCTATCACCTCTTTCCTTCTACCTCTTATCCAGTGAAAATGAAAGCATATCCACTAAGAGGACTTCCTAGCATAGAAATGGCAAGTAGGTACTATCTACCAATTTGCTACTAGCACCACCACTACCTATTTACATGCCCTTTGCATTTGCAGCCAACTGATTAGAGCATTGTGCCTTAGTGTACTCAAGACACTTGGAATTGGCAGTTGAGATGATTATTTGCCATCCCCAACCTAGAGATGATCATTTACTGAGTACCTTCTATGTGAGAGGAGAGTAAAAGTCAGAGGGCCACAGCCGGCAGTGTGACTATCTCAGAGGAGATGCTGAGATCAGCAAAGTCATTCTGAGTCCTAAAACGGGTTCTGAGGTCCTTCTCCCAGGTGTTTAGAATGTGTCTCAGGCCTGGGAACAAGCTCTCTGGGACACTAAAGGAATAGAGCAGGATTGGGGGTCGACCTAGCAACCATGAGATCCGGGCAGTGAATACTCGTAGTGGAGTCAGAGCTAAGCAGTTGTCATCTCCCTGGTTCAGGTGAAAGGTATAGGGGACAGGATAGCCCAGGAGGATCCCAAATACAGTACAGAGATTCCAGTCTGAGGAATGGAGCCTGCTGTGGGAGACTGTAGAGGGAGATAAGTCCCTCTGCAGCCCCTGCAAATGTGTGATGATCTCAGCCACGAGGGCCTTCAAGTCCTGAAGTTGGTCCAAGGAGCAGACAGAAGGGTGAGGCTGGCAACTGGAAACATCCACAAAGGCTATGGTACCAAGCAGCACCTGCTCCAAGTGCTGACATACATGCTCAGGACTGACAATCAGGCTGTTTTCTCCAATCTCAAGGATGTGAAGTCCAAAGGTCAGGAAGCCAAGCCCCTGCAGCTCCTCCAGATAGCTCTGGAGCTCTGATGCCCCTGCATAGTTGCAATCATAGAGCACAGCTGGCTTCAGTCCCCGGGCCACAGCCAGCACCTCTCCAGCTAAGTGAAGGCAGATGGCTTGGGGTGGACTCCGTCTCTTTCCCATGCCAAGGGTCTGCTGAGCAGCTGCCACCAGCAGCTGAGGTCTCGGTGATGACATGAGATCTAGAAGCAACATCAAGAATGGCCTCCTTAGCTAGCCAGAGTTCCCTTCCCTGGGTGGCATCTTTAAGCCAGACACTTGAGGAGGCGCCTAGAAACAAAGCAATAGCAGGGAATTATTAACAGCCAGTGACACACCACGAAACCTGACAACAGCCTTCCCGTTAAGTCGAAGTATCTTCCAAAGGTTATTCTGTCCCTCCCTCTGCTTTGAAATGGTGACCCAGCCCAGACAAGATAGGATCAATGCTACCTGATTTTTCTGGTTGACTTGGTCTCCCTCAATCTTAAATTCGTGTGTTTTTCTAGCCTTATAGCTAGATTTATATTCCCTCTGGCTTTTATTCTAAATTTTACCTGTTGCAAATTACGTTCTCTGGTTCAAACCTTAAGGAGCTTGGGTCAGAGGCGGAGGCGGGGCAGTGTTTCGCAAAATTCACAGCATTTCGCCCAAAAGCCCTTCTGAGACAGAGCTCCAAGTTCCAAATGTATCCTTTCCACTGACAACTCCTCTACTCTTCCCGCCAGAGAATAGTTATAAGAATAGCAATTTGATTAATATACACTAGAATGTGGACTAACCACCATCTCACCCTGACACATAAAAATGAATGAATGAAATCCGCTAGAACTGCATACGGTAGTATTTTAACTTCTGCTGGCCCCGCCTTCCCTTTCTGTCCGACCAAGGACCCTCGGAAGATGGGATTTCTCCGATCCACACGCCCCACACCAGAGCATATTACAGTGATTTGCTAAATGAGGCATAAGTCTCTCTCACATACGTTCTTTTTCCACGTCCGCTACAGGTTCGCGGGCTCAGAAACTTTTTGCGGCTTCCTGCCTGCTGCCAGAAAGGCAGCTAGTCCCCAACGCCCAGCCGCAAGTAACACTGGAAATCCCGCCTGCGCTGGAAAGACCCTCTCAGCCTGCTCTCCTCCAGTCGGGCAGGCACCTTCTTGCGCATGCGCACCCACTCGAGTGCCGCCCTCTTTTCCCCCCCGTTCCGTGACATCATCCAGCCGCTCGCGCGCCTCGCTTTAGAACCACTAGCGAGGCCGCCTTGCTGCGCGCCGGAAGTTTGGGGAACCCTGCGACCCGCCCTTTCCTGTCAGACAGAACGCGGCCCCACCTGTCTGCTCAGGAACTGGGAAGGGCGGAAGTGAACGAGAAAAGGCGGAACCTGGTGAAACTGGTTTCCCGCTGCTGCCCTCATTTTGCTTCGCAGAACTTCCTTCTTGTGTTATGACGTCTAGTGTCCCACTTGACTGGGAATCCAGAAACAGGGCACACAGCAGTTAATAAACACCTTTGATTTGTGTCTGTGGAAATACGTTTTGTCCAGACGAAACATACCTCAAGACAATTAACATATTTTGCAGAATAGCCTTACCTGTGGGTGATGCTGAAACGTTTTAATTTTTTTTAACTTGACTTCCCTAAATCCTACATTTGAGAGGCCTACAAGAACAGCTCTCTAGGGAGGGTGTGAAGGTGTGAGTATTCACTTTGAACAAATATGTGCCAGTCATGCTGCTAGGCCCTGGAGGTATTGCAGTGAGCAAAACAGACCAAACCCCCACTTTCATGAGGCTTAAGTTCATGTCTACTGAATCCAGTTTGCTGATTTCAAATAAGAAATGAGAAGTGACGACACAGAGGCTTTCCAGTTAGGTCATTACAAAGAAAAAGTGTTATTTCACGTAAGAGTTAACACCTTTTTAACTACCAGCAATTTGACCCATGCCACAAAGGGAAAGGATTTCTTGAGAAAACCCCAATATCTAAGGAAATGGCCCCAATTTATTTATACTTGGAGCAGGACAGAGATTAAGGGAACAGTGGACACCTACACTGTAGTTGTCACTCCTGGGTCTATCTTGGTGGTGCCTTCAGACCGTGAAAAGTGAACTGTAAAGATGGGGTCAGCATGGGAGGAGGACCAGCTTATAGGAGTTACCAGGCTAACACTGGTTCTTAGCTCAGAGGGAGTCAGAAGCTGAGAGTAGAAAGTAGTCTTCTAATTTTAGAATGTTTTCCTTTCCCACATTTATTTAATTTTCCCATGGTGGTTAACAATAAATCCCTAAAAGACTGATTTAGTTCATTCATTTATTCCAGCAACAAATATTTGAGAACACACTGTGTCCCAGACACTGTTCTAAGGACTGGCAGCGAAGTCCAAGACAAACAATCCCTACCTTCAGCAAGTTTGCAGTCAAGCAGGATACAGATGCTGAGCATTACAAGGGAAATGATTATTCTGAAAGAGGAACTATGGGGTGCTATGGGAACATATAACCAGGGACCTAATTATATGGGAAAGGGACCAGCCCAGATCCAACACTTGCCCTCCCAGTTTACCTCCAGTAGGTTCTTTTTAACTTGAACTAATCTTGTTTGGTGGGGTAGACAGTGAGGAAAAAGAAGAGCTAGTGACAAAATCTAACTCCCTTCTCAGTCTTAAGCATGATGAAGGCAAGGGAGTAGAAGATATCAAGGGAGTGAGTGGTGGTGGCCACCAAAGGAGATAGCAGACTGAGGCCCTAAAAAAAGAAAGGAAACCTAAATCTATCCAGCACTCTCTCCCAGCATTCTGAAAAGGAGCCAAAACAAGGAAGAAACTGGGGTATCTAGTGAGGACCTCACAAATCACTCATCCATTCCTCTGACATGTTCATAAACTTTTCACAGTGGTTACAAACCAAAAGCTTGGTATTTCTTGGCACTTTTCCAATACCCTTTACCAGCTCACATTATCTGGGCTCCCACCCAGGCTACAGATAGCCTGGCTGTTAGCATTTCACAAAAGGGATACAGACTGGCCCAGATTCAAGAGCTACCCTTCTAATTTACCTACAGTGGGTTATTTTTAACTTTGAGCTCCCACATAGAGATGGGGCAGCCAAATATCAAGACCAAATCCCTCACTTCACCTGCTCAACAAAATGACCCAAAAAATGTAAAGTTTCTGTGCCATTAACACTTCCTGGTCCCTAAAAGCCCAACTTTTCCTCAAAGCTGGGCACCTGACCTTTAGCCAGATTTCTTAATCTTGTCATGCTTTTCATAATAGCATGGGTAATGCTTTTCATAATAGTAAATTCCACCAGGTCTCTTAGAAACTCTAAAACCAAAGCTTAAGCACTTTAAATAAATAAGTCCTCGTGTCACCACTGACTATGAACTTTTAGTTTTTAAAATAAGGCTAGCACAACTTTTGAGTCATTTTGAAAAGTAGGAGATGGCCTGGTTTAAAGGTACCAGACTAGACATGGGCTTCCTTACTACGTCCCGACACAGACAGAAAGGCGTCACTATTCAAGAGGACTGGGGCTTGCAACCACAGATTACCATTTTATTTGCCATTTAGGTCCCAGATTGCTTGAGCCCAGGAGTTCAAGACCAGCATGGGCAACATAGCAAGACCTCATCTCTACAAAAAAAAAATTAGCCAAGCATCATAGTGCACGACTGTTGTCCCAACTACTCAGGAGGCTGGGGCAGGACGATTGCTTGAGCCCAGGAGCTTAAAGCTGCAGTAAGTGGTGATTTGCCACTGCACTGTAGCCTGGCAACAAAGCAAGACTCTGTCTCAAAAAAGAAGAGAAAGCCAAAATGGTTAGAGACTCAGCAGATGTTTCCAGATAAGATCAGTTTGTGACAGATAGACCTGCATTGTTCTATACCACTCTTTACCTTCACTGTTCACACTCAGATACCTCCACTAGTAAGGGAGACAAGCAGGTTTGTGCTATGTGAGCCTTTCCAGAAGAGTACTGCCCAGCCCTTCTTCATCCCAGCCTTAACACACCCAACAACCAATTTCTTTCAACTGCAAAACATCTAAATTATACTGTCCCTTTTGTAGTCAGAGAAGTATATCTTAGATCCCCAGCTCAGTCTAGCTCAGAGAAGAAAATAAGAAAAATAGAGCTCTTTCCTCTTAAAGCTACCACCTGAGTCACATACTATCATCTACCCCCCTCCCCCAACCCCTAAACACACACTCTGGTATTTGAGTAGTAATATGGTAAATGCCTGACAACCTATTCTTCCACAGAATCCCTAGGCTTTCTGTGTCAACAGCTTCCCTTTAGAAGCCAAATTTGTGAGCTTTCACTCCACAGGCTGGGTGACTTTCAGACTTTGGCACCCATTTCTATTTAGATATCAAGCATGGTTTCTAAGCAACCAGCCAGCCAGCTCCTCTCCCTCTCACTTCCCCCATCAGGGAGCCAGCTTACTATACTAGCAGAACAGGTCAAACAGAGCTTGATCCTGGACAAATCAGTGCTTGAGGAAACTTTAACAAAACCAAGCAAAAATGTGGTACAAGAACAATGCAGAAGGATTCTGTTCCAGGCAGTTTAGCCTTATACAAGTAGAAGAAGGTCATCAAGTCCATTTTAAAGCTGTATACAATTTCAGGCATCATTCCAATTTCTTCACTTTATAAGCAATAAATCTGAAGCCCAGAGGTTAAAGGACTTGTTCAAGGTCACATTGGCAGCAAAGCTGCAGCTAGAACCTTGGTGTCCAAACTCCCAGGCCAAATCTCCTTCTACTGTGCTACATCATACTACCATTAGGAGATTTGAAAAAGAAAAGCAAAGTCTGAAAGGTGATTTTTCCATAAATTAAATCAGCTTTAAATCTAGGCATACTTGGAGAATCACAGACTTCTAACACTGTTAGAGAAAAGAGAGATTTAAAAGCTGGTTAAACCTAAACAATAAAAAAATCCATATATACAATATTATAAAAAAGGAAAGGAAGAAGATGGCATTCACGATTATTGAGGAGGCAGGGCAGGGGGGAGTTGCATGCTGGGGGTGGGCTGCATGGGCTGCCAGCTCTCCTGGGTTTGAAGGATGCGGTACAGCTGCTTCAGCTGAGCAACGATGTTATCTTTGATGTCTGGGGTTGAGATCTGCAGGCGGACACTGCCACTATCAAAGGATCGTGTGAAATCACCAGAAAACATCTCGTAGATCATCCGAGCTACTACTGGAATGACCTGTTCAAGACACAGAACATAGGTGTATCCTCTCAGGAAAAGGTATTTTTAAATAGCACAATGGACCCGAGATTGAAGGGCAGACCAAAGAGGCCCTGAGGAAGCCCCCCATTCTAATGTCTAAATAAAGGATATGCCTTCATCTCTCTGGACCATCCTCCTGCCAAAGCTCACTCTGGAAGTTGGTTCAAATGAAGGTAAAGAACCTAGATGTAACATTAGGCTACATGCCTAAATAAATGACTGCTTACTTTACAAGACTTTTAACAAAATATCATCTATTGCTTGCCTTGCTACACAACTCCAGGGGCAAAGCCCAAGTGGCCTTGCTGCCACTTCCTAGAATAAATTTATATTCCTAAAAGTAACTCAAAAGGTTTTTCTAAGAAAAGCTGGAAAGGGCCAGGTGTGGTGGCTTATACCCATAATCCCAGAATTTGGGGAGGCTGAGGCAGGAGGATCACTTAAGCCCACGAGTTCAAGACCAGCAGGGGCAACATAGTGAGACCTCATCTCTGCTAAAAATAAAATTACGCCAGGCATGGTGGCCTGTGCCTGTAGTCACAGCTACTTGGGAGGCTGAGGTGGGAGGATCACTTGAACCTGGGAGGTTGAGGCCACAGTGGGCTGAGATGATGCCACTGCACTCCAGCCTGGGTGACACAGCAAGACCGTGTCTCCAAAAAAAAAAAAAAAAGTGCAATTTACATTGTGTGTGTGTGTGTGTGTGTGTGTGTGTGAAGAAAAGCTAGAAAGGGTCATATCTGTGAGGTTTCAGCAAGACTCTAAGGTTAGTAAGAGAATGAAAGACAAGATCTCCTCTAAATCAGTCACCCATTTTAAGGACCCTGCCTTTTCCAGCATGGTCCTACTGTACAAACCTGAGTCTGTTACCCCATCTGATGAGACTGAAACCTACATGGGCTGACGGATGCTTGATGAAGGCTCAACCCAGACCTGGGGGCTAAAGCATTGGCAAAAAGGAGAAGAGTTGTTGACACAGCCTTATCTTCTCACCTGAACCAAGATGAGTTTCCTTTCCAAGGGTTTCCCATCTGGCCATTCTTCCCCAAAGCATAAGTAGATCTCAAACGGTGGCTGCTTTTCTATCTGTCCTTTCTGGTGGGCAATGAGATCTGCAGAAAGTGGAAGAGCAAGTTTGGTATACCGGGTCATTCCACATGCACTCAACAAATACCATCTTTTATGCTGTCCATTACAATAGCCACTAGCCA